ATTAAAACCCACTGTTCGATCTCCGCCGCCGTTTTGTCCTTAGAGGGCAAAAATACCAAATAATCACCACAGAGGCACATGCACACGTAAAAGCATTCACATACGCGCGCACATACACATACACACTCTTACGCACTTGCACAGAAAACCACACACACACGAAACCACAATGGCATGAACTTGGGCTAAAGTCCATGACATGGCACCAAAGGCCGGGAGCAAGACTGCAAAAGATAAGTCTGCTGCTCGCAGTGCCGGCAGCGCGTGCAGGACCTTGATCAATCCATGCGGGGTTTATGTGCCCGGATACTCCAGGATCATCAGCACCGGCTGCTACTGGAGCTGCTTCTGCTTCTGCTGCTACTGGCTCGCACCCAGCACACCAGAGCGGCGGCTGAGCAGCAAACAGCACAGGTCCAGTTATTTCCATGCCACCTCCAAGGTTCATGTGCTCACCTGCATGATTTGTGGTCAAACCGTGAAAAGTGGCTTCCAAGCGCTTTTAAAAGCACCTCTGGCCGGTGCAAGGCGAGCAATGTTGGGGGATCCTGCTCCGGTCACAGCCAATGTCCTCACCGATGTGGCCGCCCATGGGGCTTAGAACGCACGGTGGCAAAGCTGTGGAAGCGCTAGAGCTGTAAGGACATGGACGAAGGGGTCGTGAAAAGGCCCTTGACAAGTGTTGTGTGAACCGACTGGCCCTGATCTCAAAAAAGATTTTGTAAAAGAAGACATCGTTGCCGATCCACTGTCGATTTGTTCCAGCATGCGAAGAGCGCGTGCGAAGAATAAAAGCACGCTAACATGGAGGGACCTGAGCGACATCCAGCTATATTGAAGCGGCAAGCCAAATTTCATCAACAGGTTAACAGGTTGCAGAAAAAGGCAATTTGCTGAAAGTGGGCAGGTTAGAAGGGCTGGTCAGCCACAACGGCGGGCAGACACGATCACTGTCGCTTATTCCCAAGCGGGCTTGCTGTCTCACATTCCGAAGATGTGGAGGAAGGGCGGGCCGCAGGGTCTGGGAAGAGGGTGGTCAGCTTCCTTATATCTGCAAAACTTGACCATCTGGGGGTGCAAGATTTCCGCTCCCCCCGTTGGTCAAGTAACGTCTGAAACTAGACGATCTCTATGGTAGATCAGCTAAACTTGACGATCTAGGGGTGCAGGATTCCTGCCCCCCCCGTTGGTCAAGTTTTGGGGTTAGCATGGTGAGATGGTCAAGTAACGTCTGTAACTAGACGATCTGGGGGGGCAGGATTTCCGCCCCCCCCGTTAGTCAAGATCTGGGGTTTCACCTTGTTTTTGGTAATTGGTTTTGATTTACCTTTCTCTTTCCCATGCTGTCTCCTCTAGGCCCCACTGGACTAAACGTGCCTTTTCCCGCAGTAAATCAAGTCTCTTGACATGTTCTCACATGTTCTTCCCTTCTGTCCGAGATGTTCAAAGCCTACTCATGGCTCGAGTAGGTTAAACCACGCAAATACAAGCAATTCCTTCATGTCCACAGCCGAGTGCTTACAATTACTTTACTTTCCCCACCATGACATTTATACGTTTTGTTACTGGCAAATCTTCTGGCATTCTATCTGACATATCTTCTGGCATTTTATCTGGCATATCTTCTGGCATTCTATCTGGCATATCTTCTGGCATTCTACCTGGCATATCTTCTGCAATATGTTCTGGCATATCTTCTGCAATATGTTCTGGCATATCTTCTGGCACTCTATCTGGCATATCTTCTGGCATATCTTCTGACAGTCTAACTGGCATTCTATCTGGCAAATCTTCTGGCATTCTTTCTGGCAAAGATTCTGGTACTTTATCTGGCATACCTTCTGGCATTCTATCTGACATTCTATCTGGCATACCTTCTGGCATTCTATCTGGCATATCTTCTGGCAACTTATCTGGCATATCTTTTGGCATTCTATCTGGCATATCTTCTGGCATTCTACCTGGCATACCTTCTGGCATTTTATCTGGCATATCTTCTGGCACTCTATCTGGCTTATCTTCTGGCATATCTTCTGACATTCTAACTGGCATTCTATCTGGCACTGGCATTCTATCTGGCAAACATTTTGGCACTTTATCTGGCACTCTATCTGACATTCTATCTGGCATACCTTCTGGCATTCTATCTGGCATATCTTCTGGCATCTTATCTGGCATATCTTCTGGCATTTTATCTGGCATATCTTCTGGCATTCTATCTAGCTGGCCGTTGAGGTCCAGCAGTGCCCACTGAGGAAGGTCCCAGGTTGAGGTCCAGTGGTGCGCACTGAGCTCTGAAGGTCCCAGGTGCCCACTGGGCTCGGAATGTCCCTGGTTGAGGTCCAGCGGTGCCCACTGCGCTCAGAACCTTGCGGTTGAGACCCAGCCGTGCCCACTCAGATCAGAGGCCGGCAGTTGAGGTCCAGCAGTGCACACTGCGCGCGGAAGTTGGCGAAGAGTTGGCAAGGCGAAAGTGGACATGGAAGTGGATGCAGAGGTGGTGGAGAAGAAGGTGGAGCACGAGGAGGAGGCAGAGGAGGAGGAGAAGAAGGAGGAGGAAAACAACTGTGATAAAATCTAACAACCCTCACATGGCAGGTGGGGAAAAAAGCCATCAAAATCCAAGCTCAGCTATGAAGCAGCATTCACAAAAAATCAGTCATTTACATACCTTCGTTAACTGATAAATCACCTGCATCACACTCACTCTCGCTTGCCCGGTTCAGTCTTCAAATTAATAATTTGAAGGCTGGATCGTGGAAGCAGGTGCCAGCCCCTAGCAATGATGGCAGGCATGGAAGAGGAAGATGAAAAGATGGACACAGAGACAAATTTGGCGCAAAGACGAAGCAGTATTATGGTAGAAGCTACTGCCGATGAAGCGCTCCGACAGCAGCCGTTGGGCATGCATTCATAAAATGTCCAGCTGGCTTTGCTCCATGTCACTGACCCCTCTAAAACTATCATGAAGGCCTTGTCCGATATCTTCAAGATTTCAAGCCTATACAGGGTAATGCTGTCTGGCCAAACGGACCCCGAAAGACCAGGTTAGGCCAATTCCAGCCGAATATATAGTTTATACCGTACCTGATTCCGAAACTGGCGACACAGACAAATTTGGTCAGGTAACGGCTCTTTATTATACAATTGCTCTTTGGTTGTTAAAAAAATGTTCGGGTAATTCGAGACGTTAGCTGTGAAAGTTTGCATGCAAACTTGCGAGGAGGGGTTGAAAGTTTGAGTGCAGGCTTTCGGGGGGGGCTGCAAGTTTGCGCGCAAACTTGCGAGCAGGCCTGAAGATTTGCTTGCAAATTTGCGCGTTTGCAGAGCAGAGTCGCGGGTTGAAAGTTTACTTGCGAATTTGCCAGGTGGGTTGGAAGTATGCAAGCAAACTTGCGAGGAGGGTCGAAAATTTGCATGCAAACTTAGAGTTCAAGTTACTCGGCATTTAGGTTCAAGTACGGCTGGTAGCAGAAATAGTTTTCGTACGCAAAACCCAAATTCACTTAGAAACGAGAAAGATAAGACCACCAAAAACTCTCCGCAGCGACAAAAACCTTGTTAAGTGACTCTCTGCCTTTTTCAGGGTAATTTTTCAGCCAATTCGACAGATTGGCAATGAAAGTTTGCATGCAAACTTCCGAAGGGGGGTTGCAAGGTTGCATGTTAACTTGCGAGGGGGGAGTGGAAGTAGCAGGTGTGAAAGTTTGCATGCAAACTTATGAGGGGTGGTTGAAAGTTTGAATGCAAATTTCTGGGGAGGGGTTGCAAGCTCGCGTGCAAACCTGGGATCAGGCCTGAAAGTTAACTTCCGCAGCTTTTGCACAGCACAGTTGGGGGGTTAAAGTTCTGGCCCAAATTTGCCAGGTGGGTTGAAAATGTTCATGCAAATGCATGCCAGGGGGGTTGAAAGCTTGCATGCAAATTTAAAAAGGAGATTGAAAGTTGTCATGCAATTTTGGAGTTCAACCTATATAAAATTCAAAGAAGCAAAGGTTTGATCAGGCGCGGTAATTGTACAGGTAGCAGAATTAACTATTTTAGGCAAAACAAAAAATCACTAATTGCCACAAGTGGAGAAGTTAAGGAATGAGCGTTTAGACAGGAAATTGCTGATCCTGGGCTATTGAGTTAATAGCGGTCATCAGCTTGAATTTGGGGAAACATTGCCTTACCAGCAAAAACGCAAGTATAACAGAGGAAAAAAAACTAAAAACTAAAAATGAAAAAAAAAATGCCTTAATAGATAGATAGATAGATAGATAGAAAGATAGATAGATAGATAGAGAGAGAGAGAGATAGATAGATAGATAGAGAGATAGATAGAGAGATAGATAGAGAGATAGATAGAGAGATAGATAGAGAGATAGATAGAGAGATAGATAGATAGATAGAGAGAGAGAGATAGATAGAGAGATAGAGAGAGAGATAGATAGAGAGATAGATAGAGAGATAGATAGAGAGATAGGTAGAGAGATAGGTAGAGAGATAGGTAGAGAGATAGGTAGAGAGATAGGTAGAGAGATAGGTAGAGAGATAGGTAGAGAGATAGGTAGAGAGATAGATAGAGAGATAGATAGAGAGATAGATAGAGAGATAGATAGAGAGATAGATAGAGAGATAGATAGAGAGATAGATAGAGAGATAGATAGAGAGATAGATAGAGAGATATAGATAGAGAGATATAGATAGAGAGATATAGATAGAGAGATATAGATAGATATAGAGAGATATAGAGAGATATAGAGAGATATAGATAGATATAGATAGATATAGATAGATATAGATAGATATAGATAGATATAGATAGATATAGATAGATATAGATAGATATAGATAGATATAGATAGATAGAGATAGATAGAGATAGATAGAGAGAGATAGAGAGAGATAGAGAGAGAGAGATAGATAGATAGATAGATAGATGGATAGATAGATTGATAGATCGATAGATAGAGAGATAGAGAGATAGAGAGATAGATAGATAGATAGATAGATAGCTAGCTAGGTAGGTAGGTAGGTAGGTAAATAGGTAGGTAGGTAAATAGGTAGGTAGGTAAATAGGTAAATAAGTAGGTAGGTAAATAGGTAGGTAGGTAAATAAGTAGGTAGGTAAATAGGTAAATAGGTAGGTAGGTAAATAGGTAAATAGGTAGGTAGGTAAATAGGTAGGTGGATGGATCGATAGATTGATCGATAGATAGAGACCTTTCACCCAAATCTTTGCCACACCGTTTTGGCCTTCCAAAAAACAGGCTACTGCCCGTGCCTGTAAAGCGATACAACTTGGTATCCACATTGGGCGTGACGTACTTCAGATCCTCCGCGAAGCCCTTCAGGTCACTGTAGCGCAAAAACAAGGTCTGCCCGATCCAGCGTCCTGGCGATGAAGCGCTTAAGGCGTCAATTTATTGGAAATGAGGCATGAAAAAATTGGATTTAAGCCTCAGAAATTGTGGAATTGAACCATCCAAAACTTGGATTTAACCTTCAGAAATTGAGACTTAACCAACAAAAATTGGCTTCTATCCAGCAAAGAGTGGCAATTTAACCATCAACAATTCGGATTGAACCGTCAAAAATCGGGAAAATCACCAACGGAATGGAAACCAGGATTCTTGCTCCCCCAAGGTAGGGGTTCCTGCATTTTTCCCTTCAACCAATTCAACCAATGCTGGGATTGGGGGGTCCCGCAGCTGTAGCCTCAAGAGGCAATCAAAAGCTGAGTATGATCAAAGTGTGTTGTCCTCAATTCCATTGGGTGGTATCGTTGATTCGGTTCAGAAACCAAAGGCGTCGGGAGACCTCCAGTTTTGGTGAGTTTTCTTGAAGGCTGGTGAACATGCTCAATTTCTGCTGGATGTCTGCAATCTTGACTCTCAACCCTCGACGTCAAAATCTGAGACCTGGAAATATCCACCATGTTTGCCGTGTACCTGTTTTGACTGATGATCTTTCCCAAAAGTTCAATGTGTACTCACCATTTTGTGGGTGTCAAACCCATCTGATCTTAGATACCCGGCTTACCTCTTGATTTTTCGCTGGTTGGTTTATTTTGCCCGTGGGAACACTTTTCGCACATGCATCCGTTTATCCAGCCAGGCTGTTTACCCTTACCGCAGTCTTCAAAACCCGAGACCGGTCATTCCATTCAATCCTGGTTGCTTAAGACTTGGATTCCCACTTCTTGGATTCTGATAATCCCCATGAATGTTTGATAGTATCACACCCCCTGATCCACTGCCAGAAATTTCCAGAAATCTTCCCATGTCCATCCCATCTTGCCAAGGGGGGTTGGAACGGAAAATCCTTTGGAAATATGGGGAGTTTTCCGGTTTTGGGAACATTCATCTACAATTTTTTGGGAAGTTCCCAACTTTTTCCACCAACTTGGCATCCCATTTTTTCGTGCATCATTATCCCAACTTTTTCACCTTGAATCTGTTGGTGATATATCTCCACCAACCCTCCAGTCATGGCACTAGACGCTGACGGGGGATCAACCATGACCTGCTACCCCCGTGATCTCCCCAAAACAATCCGATCCTGAAGCGTATTGCTGAAAGACCCGGGCCACTAAGCCTTCACCTGAAACGGAACAAACCGGAAAAACGGCTAAAAACGCTAAAAACCGGAAATAAAATAGGTGTTAACGTCATTGTTCAAAGGTATCTGAGATGGTGAATAATCTCATAATAATAGTAATAATAGTAATAATAGTAATAATAGTAATAATAGTAATAATAGTAATAATACTAATAATAGTAATAATAGTAATAATATGTAATAATAGTAATAATATAATATAATAGTCTAATAGTAGTAATAATACTAATCCAACAATAAACGAATAATAATAACCCAATAGTAATCTGATGATTTATGGTGAAATGATGATTTCGCGAGGTATATATAATATTAAATATTAAACATGTATGAAATGACGGTTCATTAATATGATATGAAATAAAACAAAATCTAATAATCGAATCAACAACTGCAGAGGTATCTGACATGGCAATAATAATACAGACATATTCCAGCCATGTCAAGTATTTTTATGACATCTGAACAAATTTTAGCTGCCTGGATTTCACCGAATTTCAAGAAGAGTATGTCAGGATCATGTCTACAAACGACCATCGCCTTAAGGACTTGGGGATGGGACACAAAGCACTTGTGGATGGATCATCTGAATTTGCTGGGAAACAAACACCCACAAAAATTAATAGATTGGTGAAAGAACACTGGATTCCACAAGAAACCTCGTTCTGTTGTATCCAAACTCTTCTTTCGTTCTCTTGATATGTTCGGGGGGCTTTGATGCACATTTGTGATGGGCAGTGTTCCGTGTTTCGTCACTCATCAGTCTTCCGAATGCTGCTCATATCCCTGTTTTCATTGGGACAATCATCAAAAGCACGGCTGAACATTTGAACGCGGCTGAACATTTGAACGCGGCTGTCCCAGAAATAAAAAAATGGTCAACCACAATTACAATCAAATCAATATGTAAATAAAGTTAAAAACAATGATGCATATTTACAACGAAAAAGCTGTGAAATATAATATATATATATATGTATGTATGTACACATACATACCATACCATACCATACCATACCATAACATACCATACCATACCATACCATACCATACCAGTTACCGTACCAGTTACCATACCAGTTACCATACCATACATACATGTATACACATATAAAAAATGCTGATCACCTCATATGTTAAAAAATCAGCCCACCTGTGTTCCGTTGGATGGGTTCTGGCAACTCCTCAAAACTCAGAGACGTGGCCTGACGCCGATGCGACCCATTCATCCGATGATCTACAGGGTATATCATGGATATATATGTATATATATGTGATATGTTATGTATATTATATTATATATATGTATATATGTGATATGTTATTTGTATATATATACGTATATAATGTACAACAATAATGAGAATGAATACAACATCTGAGGCAATGGGAGATATGATGGGTTCCAACCAACCAACATGATTTCCTTGGCGACCCAGCAACCTCCATCCGGGATTTACCCTCAAGTAACATTGGCAACGGAAAATCCACCCTTTATAGTGGACCTCCATTTATAGTGGATTTTCCCATCAAAACCTCCATTTATAATGGATAGTCCTATTAAAACCTCCGTTTATTCAGTGGATTTTCCCATTAAAACCTCCAGTTAGTTCCGGGATATCCCAGCACGCGATGTCATGGATAGTATTTTTTCCAACTTATACTGGGAATCCTTGTGCGATAACTATGAATCCCTTTTCATGGGCTGATGACCATCCCCCAAGATGGGTACTCCAACAACCATGGCACATGTGGACCCCAACTTCATGTGGCTGAATGATGATCACATCATCGCATTTCAGTTGGTTGAGGTGATTTTTAGGCACCGTTTTTAGGCATGGAAAATGGATGGGACGATTTCCAGACGCAAGTTAGCGTCAGTATGCTTTGACTCTTTCACCGTAGTTTTTGGACGCAATAGTTGGAAAATGCACCAGAAACATCCGTTCTCTATGACGTGTTGTTGATGAAGGACGTCAACCTGCTTCTTAAAAATAAGATAGTTAAGACACCATACTTGCCAACCACAAGAAAATCTCTCATCATCTCAACCACGAGCAGGGCCATGGTCGAGAAGCACTTGCCAAAAAGGTTCTGTATTCTCCTTGTGGGCCTTGAAGAGCACAGCAAACCAGCTCCAGCATGCACAGACAACGCAACCAGGAGCCCCATGCACAAAGTACCCTTATATAACATCAACAAAAACAAGGTGTTGTTCCTATAGTTTCGTTGACTACCACCTCCCCTCTGTTCGCCCGTCCGAATAAATAAAAAAATATCAAAAACGGGCGGGGCTCTTGATCCCAAAGCAGGCCCAACAGATTTTCTCCTAAACATCTATATGAACTAGCTTTAACCCCCCCAAAAAAAAAATGAAAATATCGGGCAAAAGGCTACCTGACTAGTAACACACCAAATCTGTCCATGTGAAATGCCCAGAGATGCATTTAACTTAAATCGTTAGTTTCTATGACCATTTAAGGGATTTACCAAAGATATCCTGTGGGATATATACTAGTGAGATAACAAAGAACAATTCATAATTAGATAGTTATTATGAGATACTAGTGGATTATATAGTAGTGGGATATATTATCAGATATATACTAGTGGATAATTATGAGATAACTCATTCATACCATTCCCAATAGACGTGTGACTGAAACTGTAATGAGATGATGGCATGGTTGGCCCCCAGTCATGGTTGGTCAATTGAATAATTTGTGGCATTGGGTTTACCACACTCCCAATTTTGGGCTAATAGATTTGGTGGTATAGTACAGTGGATGGACAAAATCCTGCAGTTGGTAAATATCGGCAACTATGAAACATTTTTTTTATAATGGGATGATAATGGGATAAACCATCTACCAGGTGCAGGATTTCTCAACCATCCACAGTATCACTATCACCAGCTGCTTGTACCGCCGGTCGCACCTGGCTTGAATCTTCAAGGCCTTCGCTACTACTGGTGGACTCGACCTGGTTAGATGGCTGCGGCTGCATGACCACCATGTGTTTTATGGCAAACAGTAGACTCCTGTAGGTGGATACAACAAGATAGAAGCCACACACTTGGGATATAATTTGGATATACTTGGAATATAATGAAACTATTTAGAATTGGTATGTTTGAGAAACTCATCAACCATTTTTGTGGTCACCGCTGGGGAAATATATAACTCTTAAAACCGGGGATAGCTTATATGGTTCAAACATGTAATAAAATAATGTGTATATAATAGAATAATGTCATGTAATGTAACATAATATGACATAATATAACAAAACATATTATATTATATTTATATTATATTATATCATATTATATCATATTATATCATATTGTATTATATTATAATATATTATATTATGTTATAATATACTGTCTTATATATTGTATTATATTATATTATGTTATATTATATTATATATATTATGTTGTATATTATGGTATATCATATCATATTATACTATATTATATTATATCATATTATGGTAGGTTATGTTATGTTAAATATTATGTTATATATTATGTTATATCATATCATATCATATCATATTGTATATATATATATCATATTATATCATATTATATCATATTATATCATATTATATCATATTATATCATATTATATCATATTATATCATATTATATCATATTATATCATATTATATCATATTATATCATATTATATTATATTATATTATATTATATTATATTATATATGTACGTATTGGAAAACAACATCGGCCAGAATCCCTTCACTTTCCCAAAAACGTTACCAGAACATGGGATCCTCGACTCACCAGTTCTTCCCTCAATCACTGCCATCCCCTTTTTCTAAGCACAGTGAAGAGAGCCGAATGAAGAAATCCACTGCATTCCACTACAGGATGGGGCCCCCAAGATAGCGTTCAGCTCCCTTATAAGTGGCTTAACTATGGTTTATGGTAGGTATAACTATAGTTAATGGATGTTGATGGTGTTTTTCAACCAACTTATAACTGGGGGGGGGCCATCCTGTAGGTTTCTGAGTGTTTCTGGTGAGAAATTCCATGTTTGTCCTACAAAAAAAAACCATGGCCAAATCCCATTTTGTCTTGGCTCAATCTCCCATTTTTGCTGATCAAACCACAACCCCCCATGTTTAGTTATTCGATTCCGCACTTTGCCATCAGCTAAGCGCGTTCAAGTTGCAGATGAGCCAAATTCATAAATCGTGATAAATCCCATATAAATCCCGTAGTATTCCATCACATGCTGGTTTTTTTCAACCACTTTCCAAGGTGAAAACTTCCCATTGCTGCTGGTCAATTCCCGATTTATCTAGTTACTGTTTCACCAACCTGAAAAAATCACCAACCTGAAAAGTTCGGCTGTTTGCGAATAGTTCCTCGAATCCGATTCCCATCATTCCAGTGACATTGCAAATGAGGTCTTGCAATGAGGTCTTTCTAATTCAATCCAGATTCTTGAGTTGGTCAAATTATGTCCCATTATATCCCCATTACATCCCACAATGGTTGGTCAAATTCCCTACTATCATGGTCTTTTTTTTGGTAGTCCACCAGAATGTGTCATCTTTTGCTGGTCGGTAAACTGCCATCCAAGGTTGGGACGCAAACTCACCACCAATCCCCGAGTCGCCCAAAATTCCACCAATCCACACCTCAGCATCATCCGGATCCGGCGTCGGTGGCTTGATGATAGGCACCACCTGGAGCAGATACTCCGGCAATTTGGGGTCCCAAGTCACCATAGGTTTCAATACTAAACTGATCTAATTTTGGATGATTTGGGGGCACCACCATTTTAAGAAACCTCCAAATCATTGTAGAAAGCGATTTCACCACAAAAAATGTAGGTCCTACCAACACTAACATTGAATTTCAACAAGCAGCTCGCAATTCAGCCGACAAAAATAGACCCTCTACTGCGAGCCAGAATGGGGCCTCATCCCGATCGCCGGCCAATTGGATAGCAATTGGGTTTTCTAGTAGTAGAATTAAATAGATGTCTTATATATATGTTATATACATACAATATATATACATATATATATATATATTGTATATATATATTGTGTATATATATATACATATATATATTGTATATATATATATTGTGTATATATATATTGTATATATATTGTATATATATTGTATATATATTGTATATATATATCATATAGTATATATATGACAAGTATATGACATGTGTATGGCATATATATATATACTAGTAAAAGGCATATTGGCCAAACAGCTGGGAATTTTGCCATACCGGGTAAGCCAACAACACGACACAGTGGAGGACCCGCAAAAAAATGGTGAATTAGACATTAGATATAATATGTATAATACATATATATATATGCACAATATACTAGTTATATTAATTATGTGATATTTATATATATAATTAGTTCAGCAGCAATCACTGCTATACCAACCAGCCCCTCCTTAGAAGTGCGGTTCCAGCGAATTGAGTGGATAGATTTCTAATCATACTGCCATAGGGGGGGGGGCATATCCCAACTTATCGGGGTTCAACAAACCACGGTTATACTAGTAAAAGATAGTAAAAGTAATCTCAACCGCACCCCCAAGTAGAGTGTCCAACATATCCTGGGCCGTGAGGAGCATGTAAGGCTTGGGTTTCCGGTTGCCCTAAGGAAAAGCGTCGAAGCAGGACGCATCCTTTGGAGTCCCATCCTTCAACAAACATGTCTAATCTGGGAAATTGAATTGAGAAAGCGTCCATGATCGATGAGTTTTGGGTTCAACATGATTCAACGATTCGCGTGTACGACTTTTATCAAAACAAGATACAGTAACTCTGATATTTATCACTTTGCCGCAAACTTCTGTGCGCGTTGTCGGTGATATCAACATTTCAGCAAGATAGATCAACATGCTCCCAATGCCATCCCACTATTTGGCGAAATGTTTATCTCGCAACAGCATTGTTCAAGATGGCATCACCGGCTTTATCTGTTTCTATCTTATCCCACCACTTCTTCCTTCCCCTTAACATCTCATACCCCTCCTAGCATCCCTGGTTTAGTACTGAATCTATTCATCTTAAACTTGTTTATCTTGGTGATCCCCAAATGAGATATATTTAATAAGCCCTTATAATTAAAGGTTGTGGTTGGTGTTTCGCATTTGCCCTTGATAAATCCCTATTATATCTGTGTCTGAGAATATCATACCCCTAAATCCCATGTTTTATAGCTATCTTCCCATTTATAGTGCCATAAATTGGGTGGTAAATCCCCCAATGTTCAGACTTCAACTCAAAACATCCGTACATATACATATATATAGAGAGAGAGAGATAGATAGATAGATACACACATTACATTACATTACATTACATTACATTACATTACGTTACATTACATTACATTACATTACATAGCATTACATAGCATTACATTATATACATTATATACATTGCATTACATTACATTGCATTACGCTACATTACATTACATTACATAGCATTACATTATATACATTATATACATTGCATTACATTACATTACATTACGTTACATTACATTACATTACGTTACATTACATTACATTACATAGCATTACATTATATACATTATATACATTGCATTACATTACATTACATTGCATTACATTACATTACATTATATACATTACATTACATTACATTACGTTACGTTACGTTACATTACATTACATTACATTATATACATTACATTACATTACATAGCATTACATTATATACATTATATACATTGCATTACATTACATTACATAGCATTACATTATATACATTATATACATTGCATTACATTACATTACATTACATTACATTACACTATATACATTACATTACATTACATTACATTACATTACATTACATTACGTCACATTACATTACATTACATTACATTACATTACACTATATACATTACATTACATTACATTACATTACATTACATTACATTACATTACATTACGTCACATTACATTACATTACGTTACGTTACGTTAGGTTACGTTACGTTACATTACATTACATTATATACATTACATTACATTACATTACGTTACGTTACGTTACGTTACGTTACATTACATTAGATACATATCCCGTGGTTTATTATTATTGCAACTTTCCCTGTAAACTGATGATGTTTAGGATGAAATCTTCTCCATCGTCCGTGAGCCTCTTCCAGATCAGTCTTGCTCGCTTGCTTCACGATGCTGCTTCGTCTCCGCCTTCAGGAAGCCCAGGAAACTATAGCATGCTATAGCTGTAGCTGTTGACAACCTTGGTGAACCCCTGGTGAAAAATTATGATATGATAGGTTTTGAAGTCATATAGAATTCCTCGGACCTTTGCTGGGATTTGACGCTTTTAAAATCTTGTCTGATCTTTGAAGCCGAGGCAATTGCTGTAAATCGCGAAGAGAAGCAATAAAATGGGGGACCGTTGACCAGTTATTGGGCAGACATGAGCCCCAAAAATACGGTTCTTTTTTTCATGGGGGGCGCATTCGTTTTCTGCAGTAAAATTCGTCGTGAATGGTGATCCAACGGACATTACCAGCATCCACAAGCCATGTTTGACTAACAGTTAGGGCCGGTAGGGTATCTACCCTCTGGTAATTTAACGTAGCTATTGAAAATGACCATTTATAGTGGATTTACCCATTAATAATGGCCATTTTCAATAGCTACGTTAAATTACCAGAGGGTAATTCAGAAACAAATCGGTTTCACTCCCAAAACAGCCCCCATGGTCCGCGCCTCTGCGCCAGGCTGGTCTTTTCCACGGCCATGCGAATGAGGTGCGCTTCCACGCCATCGTTGGTGTTCACACGATCCACGCACCTGAAAAAGCGCTGTTTTATGTTACAGCGATTGCATAAGGACGGTTCTCAGGCTCGATTGAAGAGTCCTCACATCAGATTTGATGATTAGCTTGTTTCATGCGGAGAACGACCAACTTGCAGTATCTAGGTGTTAAATTTGAGCCACATCGATGTGGTTGTGTGTCCGAAGCAACAGTAGTCAGTCTTGGTTTTAGACAGTCACTGAAAGTTCAGGACTACAAGCAGGCAGCACTTAGGTAGAGGAGGAACTTATGTTTGGGACCTTTACATCATCCTCCCAAGGTATTGCAGTCTCAGCAAAAACTTGGAACATGTCATATGTTTCCAAAATTTGGGGAGGCCCACAATCCTTATTGACAAATTTCATCTCTGTAAAGTGCATGTGGGTGTATATTATATATATATACATATATATATATATACATATATATATATATATACATGTATATATATATGTGTGTGATACGTATCTATATATATATATATGTACAGGTCTATATATACATCCATAAACATATATGTATAGGATTTATCAGGGCCTGTGTTTTCTTTAGCGAAGATCTATGATACTATCAGCGAGCTCCGCTTAGCTCCACCGTAAAAGTTGGCAGCTACCCTCGTGGCAGAAAATAACCCAACGAAATGGAGGTGTTACCCTCTGGTAATTTAACGTAGCTATTGAAAAGGGCAATTTATAGTGGATTTTCCCATTGAAAATGGTGATTTTCCATAGTTATGTTAGTTTACCAGAGGGTATATGTTTTTAATGGGAAAATCGACTAGAAAAAAAGTGGTTTTCCGGAAAACCATCTTTGATTACCGGATGATAAGTGCTGGTTTCCATTCCAGTTCCAATTTCATTGGGTACATTACCAACCTCCAACTGGAACTCATTTGCTTGAAGACTGACATGTGTCCCAATAAAGTCTGTGTTTTGTGCTTTTGGTGTCCCTTTATTGCGGGGAACATGTTGTAAACCTATCCCATTTGAGTAGACATGTCCCTTGATTGGGTAATTGGTAGACTCCCATATCTGATTGGTGGTTGAGCCACCGAATTGAAAAATATGGTCATCATCCCATGTCTGGGGTTGGAGAATAAACTTAAACAAACTGTTTCTTATATCTCCAGATATAATATGTTTTCTCATCAACCAGAATGTCTGGATCCTCTTCCCATGTGTGATGCTTTTTTCACCTCCCCTTTTTGACATCCACCATCCGATCATCTCCCGATCACCCTTCCCCAAGTGGCTCGAAAGCGTAGTCCTTGGCCAGATCAAAAAACGCCACTTGCCTTTGCGTCGACCGGCGATTTAAATCCAAATCTCGTCTGATAGAGGAATCATGAGGGATCCAAGTTGATCCAAGCTGATCATAGACACATTGGGTATTGGTTGACCGAACGGTTGACCCAATGATGAGGGATCCAATCATGAGTTGATCCATTTTGAGATTGGAAAAATGATGCTTTGCAGTGATTTGTTTCGATTGAGTACCCCATTTTTCGGACAGACCCAGGGCCGGAAACACGAATAAAATAAAGTTATGTCTCCCATAAACCATAATACACCACAGTTAACCAATTTATAAGTCAACTTAGCTACTATAGGGGCCTCACCTTGTATGATATAGTCATTTTGTGTGTTCTTTGGAAGCTCTGCTCTTATCGCACCCCTATGTTGGGCTTCAGAGGATGCTGCAACCCTTGGTCTCACAGTAGGCTTCAGGTCCCGGTTGGAATCTGAGGAAATGGAACGCGCAAAAGTTGTGTGGCTGTCGACATGAGCAGAAAGCTAAACAATCATTGGACCAACTTCCATGTGATGAATCATGATGCACCGTGTCAAATGACTTCATACCCAACAGTTCAACAAGTCCGAGGAAAAGAAACACATAGCTGGCCGCCCCATACCTCCAAAAGTTGACGCAAATGGGAACTGGATATAAAATCTAACGTGGAACCCAAGTTTTCAGAAAAAAAAAAACATCATGATGTTCCAATTCTTGGGGTTCCATCTTCCTTTTCAAGCCTTTTCATCCACAAAAAAACTGAAAAGTCGCTGTTTCTCCTGTGGCGGCAGGATGAATTCCAACATCTCGCCTTGGTGGAGCAGCTTCAAACAGCTTCCGGTCCGCTGTTTTTCAGGACCACTAAGATACCCTCTGGTAAGCTAACATAACTATGGAAAATCACCATTTTTAACAGGTAAATCAACTATACATAGCAATTTTCAACAGCTATGTTTGTTTACCAGAGGGTATTAACAATGAATAGTGAACAATAATCAACTAGTGATGTTGACAATAATGGGTGTATACATAATATAGTTAACAATTATATAATCATCAATGATTAACTACTTATTGACGAATTATTTACTTATGACTCACAGCGAATGATCAATAACCACCAATAAATTTGTCCTAGTGATTGATAATCAATAGTTAAACAGATTGGTACTAGATGTCCACCATCAAGGTTGGACTGTTCCATCAGTCCCGGCGTCCCGGAGATTGAAACAACCCAACAGGGCTTCGCTGGACAGGGAACTAATGGCTAACAACTAATGATGAATAACAAGTTTCCAAATCGGGGATGTGTAGTTTCGGAATCATAGTTTCCAAATCGGGGAAACGCAGTTACTGAAGCAGAGATTGTTAGTTTCCCAACCGTAGTTTCCGAATCGTAGTTTCCAAATCGCCGATAGTTATCCAATCGGTCTTCCATCACCCCAATCATATATTCTCAGCTAATGATCAACAATCAACAATAATTGACCAGTGATGTTGATGGATATAACAACTAACAGATATTAACAACAGCTATTTCATAATCAACTAGGACCTACGATGTGACTGACGAATCAACAGCCATGTTGACAACCAATCAATCAACTAGCATGTTCATATCTCAACTGCTTGATGGTTGATGGTTGAGCCACCCCTCGGAATATGTTCGTCAGCTAGAATCATCATCCCATTTCTAGGCTTGAAAATAAGCAAAAGATGTGGCTATTGGTCAAAACCCTGGCACCTAGTGAACCCCAAAATAGCTGGTAAATGGATGTTCATCCCATTAGAATTGATAATAATAGGTTCTGACCCACCCCCATGTCTGAAACCACCAAGCCCAAAATATGGGGGGGTCCTAAGTCAGAGGGGCTACCCTCAGTTATCAGTCATGACCATGACATAGTACAGGATGTACAGGTTAACCTATGGGCGACGCCTTGCTGCGTCCGGCCCTGGGCTTCCTGGGCTTCCGCACCGTCCTGTGCGGCAATCATCTTCTCCTTGGCAGTGCTCAAAAACTGCACGAGGTTCGAGATGATCACTTCCCTGAAAGCGGGCGCCGCTGACGCCCCCAACTCGATGATGATCAGAGTCTTCAAAGAGTAAGAGTGGAAAATGGTGACAAGAGTGACCATACAATGTATTGTTGCCGTGAGAAGAATGACAATAGTAATCATTATAACAATAGTATATAATATAAAAGAATAGTGATAAATGATAATAACAACAATGATTCGTCATCATCAACAGCAACATCAACAACAACAACAACAACATCAACATCAACAACAACAACAACATCAACATCAACAACAACAACATCAACATCAACAACAACAACAACATCAACAGCAACATCAACATCAACAACAACAACAACATCAACATCAACAACAACAACAACATCAACATCAACAACAACATCATCAACAACAACATCAACATCAACAACAACAACAACATCAACATCAACAACAACAACAACAACATCAACAACAACAACCACATCAACATCAACAACAACAACAACATCAACAACAACAACAACATCAACATCAACAACAACATCAACATCAACAACAACAACAGCAACATCAACAACAACAACAACATCAACATCAACAACAACAACAACATCAACATCAACAACAACAACAACATCAACAACAACAACAACAACATCAACAACAACATCAACAGCAACATCAACATCAACAACAACAACATCAACATCAACAACAACAACATCAACATCAACAACAACAACAACAACATCAACATCAACAACAACAACATCAACATCAACAACAACAACATCAACAACAACAACAACAACAACATCAACAACAACAACAACATCAACATCAACATCAACAACAACAACATCAACATCAACATCAACAACGACATCAACATCAACAACAACAACAACATCAACATCAACAACAACATCAACATCAACAACAACAACAACAACATCAACAACAACAACAACAACAACAACATCAACAGCAACAACAACAACAACATCAACAACAACAACAACATCAACATCAACAACAACAACAACAACAACATCAACAACAACAACAACCACATCAACAGCAACATCAACATCAACAACAACAACAACAACATCAACATCAACAACAACAACATCAACATCAACAACAACAACAACATCAACAACAACAACATCAACAACAACATCCTCATTGTCATCGTCATCGTCATCATCATCCAAACCATACCATTCATTCTCAGCCCATTCCTGGCCCATTCCTGGTACCTCGATTTTTTGGTCCCTTCTTCTCGAGCTTCCAGGCCTATTCCCCCGGACTTTGGGCAACATCATTTAGCTAGTGAAATACCAGTGACTTCATGGGCCTTGGCAGTAAATCAACAACACCATGGATGTTTTTTGCGGGTAAATCAACAAGAATAAGGATTGAATCAAGATCAAATAGTGATTGAACAGGCAATAACTATGGAATCCACCACCGTCGTGTGAGAAAGTTTCCGAAAATCGAGTGGACCTCCACGGATGGAATCCTACCATCAGCAAACCAAACGGACGATGTTTAGCGGAGCCCTGCAGCGGTTGGATCATTGATGTTCAAACAAAACCTTCCTAGATGTTCCCCCAAACTTGGTCGAAACCTTTGCCGATAACTTGGTTCACCAACCCAGCTTTTCATATTTGTTGGTTACACTGTTACACCCCATGCCATTCTCATTTGCTCTTTATGAATCCAGCGCTGGCGGAAACCCGCCTAGCTCTTGGATTAGTCGGAAGACCATGAGCTGTTGCTCTTCCTTTTCTCAGCGACTTTAGTCGGAAAAGTCGGAAGGATTCGGAAGGATGACCAACAGAAAAGGTTTTTTTTGTTCTTCAGAAAATGCAACAAAATGATGCTGCTTTTTGTAAGGAAGATGGGGAGGTTTTTCCGAAGAATGGGGAGATCTACATCCATGACCAGCCTAAAATGAAGTAAAATTCTGGATCCATCGATAAGTGGAGATGACGAAATCTGTGGATGTAAATAGCTAAATCACCAACAGGTTTCTGCAAATCTCATCACAACAGAACTCAAACGTTCCAAGCATCAGTTACAATAGGTACATATAGGTACCATCTGGTTATGACTAACAGTTCGCCATGGTATAGATGACCCATAGAAAGAGATGGTTTACCTATTACTAGCATGGTGGATCTTGCCAGCTATGTTAGGCATAACCAGATGGTACTCAGCCATTTTACAATTGGCATTTTATCGCTATAAGATGGTCTAACTATAACGGTCTCCCCCATTTTTCAGACGGGTTCCAGGTTCCCCGACCGTTTTGGTTCCAATGGCTATCCTGCCACGCACCCGAGGTGCAAAAAGGTGGCTTCGCTGTTGGTTCTGAAAAATGGGGATAGTTACACAGGTACAACATGTTACAACCTTCTTTTTCCATCACACTCTAGAACTTTCAGAGACATCAATGCAGGTTGTTTGGATCTCATTTCTCGTCCGACAGTGACTGCCGTGATCCCAACAAAAATCCGCAGGTGTTGGGGCCCTCCGGGCCCTCCGGGCCAGCGCCTGACTTCCTCCCCAATGGGGAGGGCGGTCAGTTGGTCTCTCACTTCATTGGCAAAGTCCTGCAAGTTGAACGCCTCAGTCCGATCCAGCCACTGTTCCATGGGACCATGGGAAAAAACATTGGGAAGTGGTTAGTAACCTCCAATTTTGGATGCTGAACAGTGTGCAACCAGAATGTTACTTCGAGATTTACTTCATATTTCCAGTTTCCACTAGAAACTACCTCTGACTTGGTGCTGCCAGTTGGCTGTGGAACATCCTCATACAATCCACCATCGTTCGGGATGAAGAGCAACCCAAACAGAGTCCCTCTGGTTATGACTAACAGTTCGCCATGGTATAGATGGCCCATGGAAATAGATGGTTTACCTATTAATAGCATGGTGATGTTCCAGCCAGTTATGTTAGTCATAACCAGAGGGTATCCCCAAGTTGGATGTGCTGAGACGGAAAATGATGAAAAATCACAAGCAAAGTCACAACAAACTCTGGGTCCCCTAATATGTCCTAATACCCTCTGGTAAACTAACATAGCTATTGAAAATGGCCATTTATAGTGGATTTTCCCATTAAAAATGGTGATTTTCCATAGCCATAGCTATGTTAAATTACCAGAGGGTATGTCCTCATCATTCACCATGGGAATGTGGGTAGTTTTTTCGCGATTGTTGCAGTGTTTCGATTCAAATGCTGTGACTCCGACAATCTGTTCACCATCTCATGGTTGATGCGATTTGCGGGAACCCCTCACTCTCCAGAAACTGAGACACGCATCCAATCCCACATCAACAACACAACAGTAACAATCACATCAATATCCCATGTCAGAAGTGCCCAAATCACTGTGATATACACAAATACACATCTGTTCGTGCTCATATACCATATAATGAGATAGGTCTCCTCACAGCCCTCCGGGCACACGGGCACACGGGCACGCGGCCCATATAATTGTGTAATAAATACATACATATATACATATATAGATATAGAGAGAGAGAGAGATTACGCAATATTGTACATTATAACCTATACGAATAATATTGATATGCATATACCATATCATGTATGTCACATACGTTCTATAATACATATATATATATATGTACCTATATATATATATGTACCCAAATATATATGTAGTATTCCATTCCAGATTGGACAATGGGCTCTGGGTCCGGCACCGACAGGGTGCCATCGCTGTTGCGAGTTGTCAGGAAACCCATGTTCTCAGAGAGGACCTCAGGGTGGATATCCACTGGTATAGTACATCTTTGGGACTTTATGTGCAAGTGTATGGACAAAAAATATATCGGTACATATATATATATATATGTATGTATATGTATATATATATATGTATATATATATATATGTATATATATACATATGATTGTATGTGTATATGATTCCATTGACTATATATATATATATGTTATTGTTATATATATATATGATTACATATATATATATATATATATGATTATATATATATATGATTATATACATATATACATATATCATTCACATGTATGTATGCATGTATGTGATGAACAGTGATGTATAAGATGTTCATTAGAAATGGAGGGACACATGATGTGGCTTGAGTTTTTCAGCATTGTGAAATATTTCATATATGATATTATTTGATACACATAGAATAATATATTACGTAATATTACAACATGTAACATCAATGAGTATCATACAACAAAAATGACAATGTTTGGACCCACCAACCAGTATATAATTCTATGTTTATCCCTTCAAAGAAGGATGTGTCCATTATTTCATTGCTATAGTAAACAAACAACAAGTAATGATAGATTGCCCAAAAACACCTGGATCTTCCCCAATGGATGCCTGGTGGCCTCAGGTTTATCCCTGGTGGGGAGATCTGAGCAGTCGACACGAACGAGCTTTGTCTCTTCCGGTGAAAGATCCCTTAGCGCAGGTTGGGATGCAAAGGATTGGATGTGAGAGCTCGAAGATTGACTCAACACAGGAAGCAAACAAGTTAAGATCCTCATGATGAAGCCATGATTGGGCGAAGATCCTCCATTTACTCTCAAAAAGAGTCCACTCGTGTCAGCATGTTTTGGGACATCCCCGGCACCCTGTAGCAACTGTAACAGTGATCAGCAAAATCACAAGCGCAACATCAAAGCACAGAGCCCTTCCTAGCCCAAACACAAGGCAACCACCGTGGAGAGATGCCCATGATAGGCAGTTCTGTTTCAATCTTACCAAGAAACAAAGAGATGAGGTGATGAGCATGATGTGGATGAAAAGGATAACAATGCAACGACGACGACGACGACGACGACGATGCTGATGCTGGTGCTGGTGCTGGTGCTGGTGGTGGTGGTGGTGATGATGATGATGATGATGATGACGATGACGATGACAACGATAGGTGATAGATGATATGTGATATATGATGATGACGAATCATTCCAGGCAGAATCCAAGCAGGTCTATCTGTCTCTGATGCTACGAGTTAGAGCGCGCAACTGGTCCTTTGTGCCTTTGTGCGGATCTTTGTGGCTAGTTACCAAACCTAGAAGCCAAAAAAAGTGTCGGATATGAGTTTTCCATATTCTTCCTATTGATTCAGATTCACCCATTTTCAAGGGTGCCATCTCAAGGTTCTGCGGGTTCTTTCATATGCATCTTGAGATCGCCATGTTTTTCGTCGTTACCGGTTCACCAACTTGTCAATGCTCTCAGCGATGGCATCAGAGCACTGGAACAGCTTTGTGATGATAATTCCTTGCTTCTGAAGGGCCACGGACAAAACAGATACTCTTGTAGGGGATAGATATCCCAAGCGCAGAATCTCAAACAAAAACAATGCTGCGAATGACTATATTTTAAGCACTGCTTTCTGTTTTGGATGGTCTTGCACTGAATTGTCCTTCAGTTGTATCTGATTGTTCATTCCTATTCTTTACTGACTTGGGTTTAGCTCAAAAGTTGGGTACCACAAATCCCGCGGTTTATCATCGTTGTTAGGATCAAAACTGCAATTTTGGGATTCCAATTCTTGGACCCCCCCTTTCGCATCCAACTAAAAAAAAACATCCACCACATTTCCAGGCCAAGCAGCTCATTGAACATACAGCCCTCGTTCTGTCGCAGCCCATTGAGCCTTCCAAGAGGTCATCAAACATGGCTGGCTGGGAGGTTTATAGAAATCATAAAACTGTATAAATGGTAGATTTTCCAGCAAGCCGTGTTTGTTTCTCAGAGGGTACAGGAAATCATGTTTTTTCATGGTTCTTCCATCCAAACGCATGGATATCCACAGGATGCTTACCAAATTTTGAGCCAATTCCCAAAACTGTGGGTTTCCCAAATCAGTCAAACATCGACAGCATTTCACGCTGGATGTTGTGAAACCTAGAGCTTTTGGAACATTTGAATATGTAGTCAATGTCCAAATCACCGACCCTGATGAATCATGAAGCCCATGACTCTGCGCAGGATATACTTCAGAAACCTTCCAAAAATACACCGAATTTGGCCGTGCGGCCAGGTCAGGTGTCTCGTCCCCAGGTCACTGGGCTTCGCACTGAATCTCAATGTTCTGCACAAAATTCGAGGCCACATTGTACACCACCAATTCTTGATTTGCCCCTCGCCTGGCGAAAAATGACAAAAAAGGCTTCAAATCACCAACCAGATCCTCATTGGTTATACACCCAGGACATATATATATATATATATATATTAGTATATGTTGTATATATATATATATGATTATATACATATATCATCATGTATCTCCGTATTGTGAATAGTTATATAAATCATTATAAATCCCTATGTTTTCTGGTGTTTTAACAGCAAGACTTCACCAAAATTTCAGGCAACCAGCTGCCAGCAAATCGGCTAAGAGGCGACTCCATAACGGCCACCAAGCCCTGCCCTGGGACATGAGACGGTTCCATCGGGGTCAAAATTCCCATCGGATTTTGTTTGTTTGACCCAAAAAAAGATACGTTTCTTTCCTGGTGTGTTCTCCACCTGCAATTCTCGGGATTCAGAAAGGTTGGATCATTCAGACAAATATGGGGATGGGTCAAAACCTTGTACCCCTAGTGAACCCCAAAATAGCTGGGATTTATGGATGTTCATCCCACTAAAAATGGTATCTATAGGTATTGACCCATACAAATATATATAGTATACATAAATATGAACCCGCCTAAAATGATGGATGAACATGATGATCAACCATCTGATTTTAGCTGGATTTAGGGAACCGGGTCAAGTCATTGTTTTGTACCGTTTCGGACCAAAAAAATACCATCTTTAACATAGTTTTATAGCATCCATTTCGGTGAGTCGGAATGAATGGTGGAGAAATTTGATGTCTATCCTTCATGGGCAAAGGATCATAATGCATGTAAAGTATAGGGAAAATATTCGGCCAGAAAAAATGATCGGATATTTACAAGCTGACGATAAACCACTCATAGCGAAATATTGGCATGTGATTGGCATTCATAGCTACTTGGTTATGAATCACTTATATAATTCTGTGAAACATAGCGAGATTCTAAGATGTACCAAGAACCTGAGGGGGGAAATACAGTAATCATTCGAAAGCCACCAAAAATCT